GCTGCTTTAAGATGACAGAGAAAACACACAGCCTCTTTTTCCTTAGTTACAGCTCATTGATCTGTAGATACTTGTTTATTATTTTATTTTACTCACTTATATACTTTTCATTTACAACACTGATTCCATTAGCTGGGACTTTATAGAAAGGCCCCAGAATGCTTAATCAATTCAGATACTACTGAACGTAACATTTGAGGTTTTTGGTTTGTGGGAGGATACCTGTGTACTTTAAAAAACCTTGAGTACGAGAACATCCAAACCACTCAAAAAAGGCAAGGAGGCAAACTTGCAGCCTTCTCGCTGAGATGTGACAGCTCTAATTAGTGAGTTTGATTGTTTAAAATATTGATAATACTGTTGTTAAATAATTTACCTTTGCATATGATTAAAATATAATTTTCAGTTTTATTTTGTAACCCACCTGTACTTCCAGTGTTGCCCCAGCCAGTGACCCATGAGGAGACTCCACTGTAGAAGCTGCTGTCTGAAGCTGCCAGACAGACGGGCATGATGTAGGGGCTGAAGGTTACCGGCGAGGACAGCTTCAGGAGGGCGATGTCGTTGTCAGAGGTTGAAAAGTCATAGCTTGGGTGAACAATGATCTGTACTACTGTTTGAGAAACTTGATTTGGATTGGATCCCTGCAGACTCTGAAGACCCAGATACACCGTCAGACCAGATGGGTTTCCACTGGCATTCATGAATAGAAACAAAAACAGAACATTTTAAAGCCATGTCCAGGTTTATGTTAAAATAGATTATACTACACTGTCTAAAAGAAGCCACTCAATTCACCCTATTTTTCCAAATTGATGGTACCACTTCATTTCATGGTTCCATTGTATTCCAATTACAGTATACCCTTTTATTGATTGTTGAAAGCGCTATTTGTTGTCAGATGAATGCATTTCAAATGGTAGAGGCTTCCGTGTTAACATAGGCAAGTGATTGGCCAGTGGTTGGATGGGATTGCCCCTTTCTGGGGGTCTTTTACGATCAGGACTGTCTGACTTTGGGTCAAACACTGGGTGGGACCCTTCCATTAGCAGCTGGTTCATCTGTGCTGCTAGGCGTTCATGGGGAGCTGTTGGTTTCTTTAGTCAGTAGGTGTGGATCAGGTCAGGCCCAGGTACAGTCCAGCTCTTCATTCCTGAAATTTGTCTTGGATGTCTACTACTGTAATGAGCACTGGTTCTTGTTCTGGTTCAGATCTTAGAGCTTGTAGTCATGGGGCATTATGATTGTGTGATGCCTCATTCTCCCATATGCTTCTCCAGTATTGCTCAGTCTCTGCTCTGGGTGGATCTATTCTCATTTTGAAAGTGCTATGGGTTGTCATCATTGTGTGTTTCCATACAATGATGAACATTTTTTTTATCTGCATTTGACCCATCACACATGAGATACATTAAAGGAACAGTGGGCAGCTATGTAATACCGGGGATACCTGGGGAGCAGGGAATAGGTGTTTTGCTCAAACCTCAAATTTGTGACAAGTTGTCTGTTATATCATTGTGCCAAAACACATTACTCCACCACTGAGTGTACACTGGATAGTGTGGTAGAGAATCTTCTTCTTATTTTGGCTTTTCCCTCTTCAGCGGTCACCACAGCAAATCATCTTCTATCTCACTCTGTCCTCTGCATCCTCTGTTCTCACTCCAACTACCTCCATGTCTTTTCTAACTGCATCCAAATATCTCTGTTTGACCTTCCTCTTTGTCTATTTTTTTTTCCTTATCATCCGTCCTCTGTCCGGATGACACAGCAAGTACTTTCCTACCTGTCTCTCTAATTACTGTTGCTGTAGTAGTCCAGTAATTTGCCACACTCTCCCCTGATACAACCTTACAGTCTCCAATCTCCCTCAGGTTTCCTCTTCTACACAGAATGTAGTCGACCTGCGTACTCCTTCCTCCACTCTTATAGGTCACTCTATGTTCCTCCCTCTTTTGGAAATAGGTGTTGACTACAGCCATTTCAATTATCTTGGTAAATCCATCACCATCTGTCCTTCCTGGTTTCTTTCATTGACACCAAACCTACCCATCACTTCCTCATCCTCTCTGTTTTCTTCACCAGTATGTCTGTTCAGGTCTGCTCTGATCACCACTCTCTCCTCCCTGGGGATACTCTCTATCACTTCATCCAGATCCGTCCAAAACATATCTTTCTCCTCCACATCACATCCAACCTGTGGAGCATAACCACTGACAACATTTAGCATCAGACCTTCTACTTCTACCTTCAGACACATCACCCTATCTGACACACTTTTCACCTCTACTACATTCTTTGCCAACTCCTCCTTCACGACCACCCCTACTCCATTTCTCTTTCTATCCACACCATGGTAAAACAGTTTGAACCCTGCTCCAATGCTGTGAGCCTTGCTGCCCTTCCACTTGGTCTGTTGGACACATAAAACATCTACCTTCCTCCTCAGCATCATGTCAGCCAGCTCTTTACCGTTGCTTGTCATTGTCCTCACATTTAGAGTTGACACCCTCAGTCCTGCATTCTTGACTTTCCTCTTCTCCCGCTGTTTCCTGGCACATTTCCTTCCTCATGGTCTTCGACTAACAGTAGCGCAATTTCTGCCCGCACCCTGTTTGTCAACAGCACCGATGACACAACCCTCACCTTTTACCCGGGCTTGGGACCAGAACCAGAGATACACTGGCAGATAAATTGACTTAATTTCCCTAAATGAATTGTTAAAATTGAATAGTTTTCATTTGATACTATTTATATCATGTGATTCTTGACCTGCCATTGTGTATCTGTTCCTACCAAATCCAGCGAATACAGACAAAACTGAGGTTTTAGTTTTGGACCTGAGCACCTTAGGAATAAATTTTTCAGTCTTTCACCCTCCTTGGATGGCATTAATCTGGTCTCCAGCTCTAATGTTAAAAATCTTAGTGTTAGTTTTGATCAGGACATGTCTTTTAAGCCCCACATTTAAAACGTTACTAGAACCGTCTTCTTCCACCTGCGTAATATCACTAAATTTAGAAACATCTTATATAAAAATGATTCAGAAAAACTGGTTCATGCATTTGTCACATCTAGACTGAACCCAGCCGGTCGAAGCAGATGGCCACTTGTCCTGAGCCTGGTTCTGCTACAGGTTTCTTCCTCATGAGAGAGATTTCCTTTCCACTAGAAGACAAATTGACCTCATTTCTTTAAATGATTTGCTAAAATTGAATAGTTTTCATTTTATACTATTTCTACCCTGTTTATTCTCCTGGCTTCTGCTTCTCAAGTGTACCTCTTTAGGTGAGTAGCCAGTGCCTTAAGGCATTGTTTAATAGTCTTAAGAGCCTCAGATATGGACCGTTTGGCAGTCTCTAGAACAGGGCTATTCAGCTGGTGGCCCAGGGGTCAAATCAGGTCCATGGGTGAACTCGTTTTGGCCCACCAATGGGTTCATTTTTAAATAAAACTAGAATTTAAACCATTAAACAAACTTATTTAATGACAATAACTGCTGGGTGTCCGGCCCCTGGGAAATTTAGTTGAATATCTCTGCTCTAGAGCTTCAGGTATAGATCGTTTTTTTTTTTTTGTTTGTTTTTTCATTTCTAGAGCCACATGTATGAACTGTTTGGCAGTCTCTAGAGCCTCAGGTATGGATAGGTATAAGACACAATAAATGGCTCAAAAATTGTTTGAACAATCTGGAAATTTGTCTTAAAAAGTTTAGAATGTTTTAATGGAAATTGTGTAGAAATCCTGTTTGTTCTTCACCCTGACTCTAGACGCATCCCTTCAGATTCCATACTAAATGGATTCATTGTAAAGCTTTATGAGTTCCTGATCAGGTCGGCTGTCTTTGCTCACCTTGAGACACAATGAGCAGCAGTCATTACCCACAGGTTGTTGATCAGAGATCCTCCACAAAAATGAGCTGAGGTTTGCAGACTGATCTGCCAGGGCCAGTTTCCTCCAGGAGCCACCTGGCCTCCAACAATCCTGGTGTTGAGAGTTGGTTGACCACAAACTGAGGAGAGATGGAGGTTAAACTGTGGATTAGCTGTTTGATGCACTCATATGAAATAAATAATAATATCATCATAATAATATATAATAGGAAAATATAAAATAATAATGATATACATGCCTCATACTGGGACTAATATCAATAAAACTAATATCATCTTATAATGTGTCTTTAAGCTGTTTAGTATTTCATATTTGGCAGAAAATAATAATGTGAACCTGTAAACATGGCTCAGAAGAAGAGGTAGTTAACATTCATGCATAGAAATTATTGACTTACCCGATAACTGAGACTCAGACTCTGAAAAACAGAAAACAGAGAAGTCTTGAAACAATAGATATAGTGCAACAATGTTCAGTCAGGTCATCTGGACAATATATTTTTTGTGCTGAGACGTTTTGTCCGTCATCCAATGGACTTCTTCAGTCTAAGGAACCACCAAACAAAGCTGGATATAGTAGATATAGTGTATCATGAGAGCAGTTTGATGCTGTTTACACAGACCTGGCTAATAACTGAGCTAACTCTGGACACACGCAATGATGGATGATGGTCATTTACTCTGGTCCTTTGAACACAAGTGTATGGTCAATAAAGGTGGGGGCCTGACTGTGTTTATGAATGACAGGCGGTATGATGCTGGACGCTCAAAGTTTAAGGAGAGACTCTGCAGTAAAGATACTGGGCTGCTAACTGTTAGCAGGAGGTTTACCATGGGAATTTTCTTCTAGTAATGTCTCATAATAGTGTTGTTGTTATAGTTCCCCCCCATGCCAATACTGAAACAGCCTGTGATGTCCTTCACACTGTTTCCAGCAGACTCCCCACAGGCCCTCCTGATCTGAGGATTTTTATGTCTCTCTGTCCTCCACTCTGCCCACCTTCCCCCAGGATGTCAACTGCCACACCAGGGACAGTAAAACACCAAATTTACTGTAGATCAACACCAAGGAGGTATGCACCTCATCATCTCTCCCTCCCAGGGGGGGCTCAGATCATAACCTGGTTCATCTGCAGCCAACACACAGTGAAGAGATGGTCTGAGGAGACCGAATAACCTCTGAGGGACTTATGTAACTCAACTGTGTGGGAAGAGCTCTGTGCTCCTTGTGGGGAGGACATGACCGTTACAGACTGCATGAACTTCTTTGTGGAGAACACCTAACCCAACAGGCCTGTTTATGTTCATGAATCATGATTTTATCATGTTCATGTTTTTATATTTCTCCAGATCATTTAACAGAATTCAGCCTGATTTGCTTTGTCAGGAACTCCAGAAGACTCAGGTGGAGGCCTCAACAATCACCTGGATCAAAGACTACCTGACAAACAGACCACAGTTTGTGAGACTGAAGGGTTGTGTGTCTAACCAGGTGGTCAGGAGCTCAGGAGCACCACAGGGGACTGTACTCTCACCATTCCTTTTCACTCTGTACACCTCAGCTTTTCAGTACAAAACAGACTCCTGTCATCTGCAGAAATATTCTGATGACTCTGCAGTGGTCGGGTGTATCAGAGATGGACAAGAAGCTGAGTACAGAGAACTGGTGGACCGCTTTGTAGCATGGTGTAGAAATAATCATCTCATCTTGAACCTGAACAAAACAAAGGAGATGATTGTAGATTTCAGGAGAAACAGGAACAGGTCCAACTCTATTTCCATCATGGGAGAAGAAGTGGAGGTGGTGGAGAAGTACAAATATCTTGGGTTTCACCTGGACAGCAGTCTGGACTGGAGATGCAACAGTGTCATCTACAAGAAGGGACAGAGCAGACTGTACTTCTTGAGGAAGCTGAAGTCCTTTAGTGTTTGCAGCAAGATGCTACATATCTTCTATAAGTCTGTTGTAGAGAGCGCTATCTCTTCTGACATGATCTGCTGGGATCAACAAGCTCATAAAGAAGGCTGACTCAGTTGTGGGGACTCTTCTAGAACTTTTGGAGATGATTGTCTGGATTTCAGCTGGTCTCTCAACACATATGATCAAAATTTTCCTCAAGAAACAGGAAGGAGGAGCTGGAAGGAGGAGCAACCAATTGAATTACGTGCTTTAGGTGTGAGGCGATTGATAAGGTTACTAGCACAAACTGCAATTTGGTTTGTGGATAGTAAGAAGTGACTGTAGGTAACATAGTTTTTCCAATGAGGGTTGTGTAAATAAACAAGAATCAGGTAATTTTTCTGCAAGAATGAAAATATGGCCAGTTGAACAGGGTGTACAGATCACAGTGGTGTGTATTAAAATAAGCTCCAGTTACAAACTGGATAATACAGTAGATAGCATCAAGTATGTGAGGCAGACCTGTAAACCACATCACTATAATCCAGGAGTGGAAGCACCTTTTATTTTGACCATGAGCTGTTTTGCAGAGTGTGTAAAGAAAGATGGCAAGTAAGTAAGTCTCTTTCAGCTGCTCAGGGGTTGCCACAACGAGCAAACTCGTATGAAAGATTTGGGATTTGTTTTACGCCAGATGCCCTTCCTGACGAAACCTAGGATTGAACCTATAACCTCAGGATTACAAGGACCACGGCATTGACCACTGAGCTACTGCAGCCACAGAACATGTGAAGGAAAATATAGTGTGGTAAAGAAAGCAAATGCAGGATTTAACCTTTAAGAGCAGGACAGATAATTAAATTTTTCATTTCAGTTTATTTAAAGCTCCAAGTCACAACAGAAGTCGTCTCAGGGCACTGAACAGAAACATTCATAAATAAAATAATAACTTAACATTATTTATCTGAGGAGCAGACTGCTTTGAATTTAACTCCATCACAGAACTCTCTTCTTGCGCAAGCATGAAGGCGACAGTGGAAAGGAAAAACTCCCTCATGAGGAAGAAACCTTTAGCAGAACCAGGCTCAGGACAGGGGCCATCTGCTTCAACCAGCTGGGATTGAAAGGAACAGAAACACAATGGCAGGTCAAGAATCACATGTTAGGCTAGAAATGGCAGCACACTGGCTCAGTAGTTAGCACTGTTGCCTCACAGCGAGAAGGCCCTGGATTCTATCCCCAGTTGGAGCTGGGGTCTTTCTGTGTGGAGCTTGCATTTTTTTCTCGTGCTTGCATGGGTTTTCTCCGGGTACTCTGGTTTCCTCCCACAGATCAAAAACATGCATGTTAGGCTGCCTTCAGGTCCAGGTCTCCCATTTAAAAGGGAGTTTTTCATTTCCATTGTGTTTGTTCAGGATGGGAGATTGCAACGAAGCCAAGATTCAACTTGTCTGCTGCTTCCTTAGATAGAGAACTTTACTAATTGGCTTTTCCATGTCTGTGAATGTTCCTGTAAAGTGCCCTGAGACAACATTGTTCTGATTTAATGCTATATAGATAAACTGAATTTAATTTAATTATCCATCCTTGTCACTCTTAAGGAGAACCTCAACATCGTCATTTCTGCCTCTTCCAGTCCAGTCTCCTGTCTTTTTGTCCATGTCTCTGTCTCCAGATCATACAACATGATCTCACCACTGTCTTGTGAACTTATCTTTTGACCTTTGCTGACAGCCTTTTGTCACAAATCACTCCTGAAACTTTTCTCTATCACTCTATCCTGCCTGGACTCTCTTCTTCACCTCTTTACCACACTCCCCATATTCCTGGACAGTGGACCCCAAGTCCTTAAAGTCCTGCACCTTTGTGACCTCTGTTCCTTGTAGCCACTTCACTTCACTTCACTTCACTTTATTAGGTCCCCGAAGGGCAATTAATTTCCAGTAAGTAGTGGTGGTGGTCTCATTGTTCCACCTCCTCCCTCTCATTCACACACATGGATTATGTCTTACTATGGCTGACTTTCATTCCGCTTCATTCAAGTGCATATCTCCACCTCTCCAAGTTCTCTTCCACCTGTTCCCTGTTCTCACCACAGATCACAATGTCATCTGCAAACATCATAGTCTATGGGGATTCTTGCCTGACCTCATCTGATAGTCGGTCCATCACCAGAGCAAACAAGAAGGGGCTCAGAGCTGATCCTTGATGCACTCCCACCTCTACCTTGAAGCTATCTATCACTCCTACAGCACATCTCACCACGGTCCTGCTGTCCTCATACATGTCCTGTACCAGTCTAACATACTTCTTTACCACTCCAGATTTCCTCATGCAATACCACACCTCCTCCCTCGGCACCTTGTCATGATTTTTCTAAATCCACAAAGACAAAATGGAGTTCTTTCTGACCCTCTCTGTACTTTTCCATCAGCATCCTCAAAGCAAAGATGATGTCTGTGGTGCTCTTTCTTGGCATGAAGACATACTGCTGCTCACAAATAGTCACCTCTTGTCTAAGTCTTGCTTCCACAACTCTCTCCCAGATCTTCATCTTGTGGCTCATCAACTTAATTCCCCTGTAGTTGTTACAACTCTGTACATCATCACCCTTGTGCTTAAAAATGGGCACCAGCACACTTCTTTTCCATTCCTCTGGCATTTTCTCACCCTCAAATATGACATTGAATATTTGAGTCAATAACTTCACTGTCATCTCTCCAATACATTTCCAAACCTCCACTGGTATGTCATCAGGTTCTACTGCCTTCACTTCTTCATTATTTTCAGAGCTTTCTGGACTTCACCCTCACTAATCTTTCCCACTTCCTGGTCCACAGTTTCTATGACCTCTACTTTTCTTTCTGTTTCATTCTCGTCATTCATTAGCTCCTCAAAGTACTCCTTCCATCTTCCCGTCACACTCTCCTCACTTGTTAGAACATTACCATTCCTATCTTTAACAAGCCTAAACTGCTGCACATCCTTTCCAGCCTGATCCCTCTGTCTTGTCAATTGGTGCAAGTCCTTCTCACCCTCTTTAGCATCCAGCCTCCTATACAACTCATCATACGTGTCTGCTTTGCCTTAGCTACATCCCTCTTTGCTTTACGTCCCATTTCCTTATATTCCTGTCCCCTCTCTTCAGTCCTCTGTCATATTTTTTCTTGGCTAACCTCTTTCTTTGAACAGCTTCCTGCACTTCACTATTCCACCACCAGGTTTCCTTATCATCCATTCTCTGTCCAGATGACACACCAAGTACCTTCCTACTTGTCTCTCTAATTATTGTTGCTGTAGTAGTCCTGTCATTTTTCTTTCTTACCACCCAGAGCCTTTAACTGCTCCTCTCTGAGTTTCTCACATTCTTTCTTCTTCAGCTTCCACTATTTGGTCTTCTTCTCTGATGTTACTTTTTTCGCTTCTTCACAACAACAGTCATTCTACACACAACCATCAGATGCTGTCTGGCCACACTCTCCCCTGCCACAACCTTACAGTCTCCAATCTCCCTCAGGTTTCCTTTTCTACACAGAATGTAGTCGGCCTGCGTACTCCTTCCTCCATTCTTATAGGTCACTTTATGTTCTTCCCTCTATGGTTTATTTAAATGAAATATACCTTTTCATATGTTATTTTCCATTTTTTATATCAGTTAAAAGGTTTATAAATAAGTCAGTATATATCTGAAATGAACAAAAGTGTAATATTTAAATTATGTTTAAAACAAACCAAACATAAAGAAAATCCTTTTTACACACAAAAAAATTGTCAATAGAATAAACTGTTTTTAACTTTATAGACATCTGCCAGTAAAATATTAAAGCTTGCCTGATTATATCAACACATTTTTACTGATAATAATCAATTATTTTTCAATAAACACCTAAAAAAACATCCAGAAACTGAAGCAGCAGAAACACGTTCTGATTGCTTTTATTGAACTGTAGAAAATAAACATATTTTAAAAAATGTTTCAGCTTTATTGATAAAAATTACTGAAATTATGTAACTTCAGCTCTAAGTTTATTTCCTCATAAAACAAATAATTTGTGATATAAAGTTTTAAAATCTCAGAAAGTGATGCTGAAACAATCATAATAAAAGTTTACATCTTTTTACTCTGTAAATTAATTTCATTCCTGTTCATGAATAATCTATAGGAAGTTTAAACAACAGATGACAAAAGTAAATATCCTCATTCTTCTGTGCTAAGAAAACAAGATCAAAGATAAAAACAGCTTGTCTGTTTTTCATCACGTCAAGTTTACAGCTTGAAACAAGTTTTTACCTGCGTACTGAAACCCTCCAGGTGAGATTCTTACCTTGGGTCAGGAGAGTGAGAGCAGCCGCCACACACATCACTTTATGAAACGCCATGGCTGAAAGGAAAGCTCACCTGTTCCCAAATAAATAACCCTCCTGATCCCGCCCCTTTTTTTTACTAACACTAACTTGTCCACGCCCAACACACCACCTGCTCAGAATAAACCTCAGAATAATGAGGCGTGCTCTTTCTTTGTTCGGCTCGTCTCTGGACTTTTATCTTTACATTTAAACAGAAAGCAGATATGTATCATTTCATTCAAAAGAAACACAAATTTATAATTTATTCAACAGAAAACAAATGTATAATTTCACTGAACAGAAAACACGAAATTGGCATTTAATTCAACAAAAAACTTTAATTTATCATTTCATTCAACAGAAAACACAAATTCATCCATCCTTTATATTCCTCTTGTTCTGGACTCAAGTTTCGGGGCCAGCAACTGGAGCAGGGAGGTCCAGACTCCTCTTTCCACAGCCACCTCTTCCAGCTCTTCTCGGAGGACCCCAAGGTGTCCCCAGGCCAACCGAGAGACATAGACTCTCCAGCGTGTCTTGGTCTCCTCCCAGTCAGACATGTCCGTAGCTCCTCCCAAGGGAAGTGCCCAGGGGGCATCCTTACCAGATGGCTGAACCACCTCAACTGGTTCCTCAACCTCCTTAGGCAGGAGGTTGAGGAGCATTAAGTGTAGAACCACTAGACTGAGGAACAGCTTCTACCCTGAGGCTGTTAGACTCATGAATCTCTAACAAGAACAATCACTGTGAAAAAAATCACATCATGTTGCTGCTGATCTGTTTCATGTTGCTGCTGATTTGTTTCATGTTGCTGCTGATTTGTTTCATGTTGCTGCTGATCTGTTTCATGTTGCTGCTGATTTGTTTCATGTTGCTGTGTTCAATCGTGCTCATCTGCTCACACAGACTCATGTTCGTGCTGCTGTTCGGCGTATTGTTTTTGTACTATTGGTGCTTAGTGTTTTATTTAGTTGATGTTTTTCTTAGTTCATATCTTAGATCTTATCACTGTTTTTCTTTTACATTTTATTGTTGGCTGTAACTGGAACTCTGTGTACACAGTTCTACTCCGAGTCTCTCCTGATAACTGAACTTGTCACCCTGTCTCTAAGGGAGAGTCCAGCTATCCTGTGGAGGAAACTCATTTCAACCTCCTGTATCCACGATCTCCCTCACCTATGGTCACTACCTCGTGCTCGTGACCATAGGTGAGGGAACGTATACTCAAGGTTCAAGGATTCAAGGTTCTTTATTTGTCATACACACCGCATGTGGTACATGTGGTGGAACGAAATTGTGTACACAGGGTCCCAGTTACATCCAACAATAAAATGTAAAAGAAAAACAGTAATAAAATCTAAGATATGAACTAAGGAAAATGTTAATAAAAATACTTTAAGCACTAGTAGCATAAAAACAATACGCCGAACAGCAGCATGAACATGAGTCTGTGTGAGCAGATGAGTACGAATGAACACAGCAGCATGAAATAAATCAGCAGCATGAAATAAATCAGCAGCATGATGTGATTTTTCAGTGATTATCCTGATTAGAGATTCATGAGTCTAACAGCCTCAGGGTAGAAGCTGTTCAGGTCCAAAAACTAAAACCTCAGTCTTGTCTGTGTTCAAAAGCAGAACATTTAGGGTCATGCAGGTTTTTATGTCTTTAAGACATGCTTGTAGTCTAAGTAGCTGACATGACAAAAGTAAAGGACGTGTTCGATCACTAATGGAAACCGGAGAGCTGCGACTCACTCTGAAACACATAAAAATAAAAAAGTCTTCATTATTCAAGCTTTAATACAATCTGGATTCTAAGAACACTAAATTTTATCCTTATCCTTTAATCCTCTTAATTATTGTTCTTTAAACTGTTTACTCTAGCTTCAAGTTTCTGGCTGAGTTCAGGTTTCTCTTCGACTTCAAAACTCTCTATTACAAGCACAAATTACCTCATGCTAAAATCGTAATTCTCCTGCGTTCCCGAGATTTTATTTTATTTTATTTTTTGGAATATGAATAGTTATATATCTGAATGTGAAACAAGAAAATATTCCCAACTCAAGTCATCATGTGACTGTTTATCTCTCCATCCATTGTGTTTCTTTACAGTAAACGGCCTTCTGATAAAACTGGTTTTACCATTAAGCCTCAGTGAAACACATTCACCGCATGATATTTACATGTTCTTCTCTTGTCTTTTAATTCCTGCAATGACTCAGCACCTGTGGAAATAACCTAATCCCATCATCATCTCTATCATAATTTTTGTGAAGAATTTAGAACCCAAGAGTGCAGACAGAAAAAAGCTGAGAATGGCTCAAGAGTAAAAATAAAAGAAAAAATATACACTAAATTTATTAAACAAAACTGAAGAGCTGACATGGCAACAAACTACTCACAAAGAAATGGCTAGGGAAACATGGGGGAAGCAAACATGACACGGCTTTGCAGCTTAATGCCAGGATGAGGAACTGAAGGTGTAGCTTAAAAACTGGTGTGTAGCTTAAAGTCTGTACTTTTGACACAAATTAAAATGGAATCGCTGAGCCGCTGTGTCATTCCCGATAGAACGACTGAAATCTGACATTTTTCTATCACGCTCCGGGGGGTCGATTCGTTCCAAAGTGGGGGGAAAAGTCAGTCAGCGTAGGAGGAGAAATGTCCACCTGTTATGGAAAAGGCAGAGCACCACTTGTTTGTTTTTTTTGTTTTTTTTTCCTAGATGGCCTCCCTTCTCCCCTTACAGCCATCCTCTCCACACCATTATTATGAAATATTTATTCTAGTGACTATCTAGTGTAGGTTTTTTTTTTTTTTTTTAATAGGATAGAAAGAAAGAAAAGACAAAGTAAGACTCCAAAATATAAGAAATATACACAAAGAGAGCACACGGCAAAACACCCGGCCACTGTCTGTTCACCTGCAAAGAACATGACAAAACACAGCAACAAAATACATATGTATAAAGAACTTAAAATATTCATGGCTTTGCAGTAAGTTTCCATAAATATATATACCCATACCTACGCCTATATACATACATACATACATACATACACATGAATATACATTCACATACATATCTATATATCTACATATAAAGCCTACATAAGCATCCCTGCTTCTATTTGTGTGTGGTTGTGAGCATGCATAAGTGTATAAGGCTTCTCTAATAGAACATTTAATAGTAACTGTGAAGCAGCAGAGACCCGACCCCCAAGACCAGAGGTAGACGAAAAAGGGGGGACCAGAGCCCAAGACCCCAGGAGGGATCCCGACCGCGGAGCCCCCAGAGCCACCCACACAGGACGAACCACTCACCCACCCCCCAGAAAGGACCACAGGGGAGAACCGGAAGATCCCCACCAGCGACCACATACAGTGACCCCCCGGGGCCAACAGCGACAAACTCATAGGCCTCCGTCGGAACCCGCCGCACCGATGTAGGTCCAGGTCCGGGCACCGAGGCCCGGGCACCGAGGACTCACACCACACAGGCCAAGGCCCGACAGGGCCAGAGGACCCGAGCCCCACCAGGCAGACACTAGGCCGAGCCGACACACGCCCAAGTGCCCAGCCCCCGACACCAAGAGCCCCAAGCACACCGGCAGGCAAGGGCACACCCCACCAGGGGGCCGCGCGATAGGGGCGCGATGCCAAGCACCCCCAGTCGTATCAAAGAGGGGGCAGTCCGAGTCTCGACCTAACAAATACCCATTCATACACAGACACAATCGCACAATCCCAACCTCAGTCTCACATTCACTCACTCAAAGACATACAATAACGATACATTTCATTCTTATTCCCGATACGCACTCTATACCCCCAGGTCCAAGACATGTACCCGCCCTCTACAGGGGGCAGCCCATGCCCAAACCCAGGAGGTAAACCCATTCATTCTCGAGCGGAGAAGAGCCAATACCCCAGACCCGGCCCAGGCCATTCCCCGCCGACAGGATACCCCCCCACCATGAAGAGGACACGCCACCGACCACCCCCACACACCGCCAAAAACCAAGCACGCACCCCCAGCCGACCGCCCGCCAGGCCCCGGCAGCCACCCCGGCCAGCGGGCCAACCATGGCACCCAAGAGCCAAGCTCAGGGGGTCCAAACAACCCCAGGGAGAGCACAGCGCCAGCACCGCCCACGGCAACCCCCTAGACCCTGAACCCCCACATAGTCCTGGTCAACACCCGACGGCCTGCCCACTTGAACACCACTTGTTTTTAATTGCACTCGCCAGTAAAACTGTATTTTGTCCCAGTGTGATGAACTCCATAGTGCATTTGATTTGACCGCGAAGGTGCATAGTATCCACCGGCTTGCTTTTCTACAACCCACCTTCCTATTAGTGAAGACAACGCAAGCTCCATTGTGATTGGATGTAATCCTTGTTGAGGCAGACCCTGTCTTGCTCTCAAACTGGAAAGCCGACTCCAGGCCGGAGCGCTTTTATTACATAAAAAGCGTTGCCCCTGGGCTAACATAGACATTCAGAATTTTAGGAGCAACTGACGTAGAAGGAAATCAAGTAAACTTGAGGTTCATAGACTCCATCTAAAGGAACTAAGGAATTCCTTAAATGAGTCCATTAAAAGTGCTAGAACTCAGTATTCTACTCAGCTTATAACTTCTACTAAAATAAATCTTAAGAGGCTGTTTGATACCGTTTATTCCATTGTTAACCCTTCAGTAACCAAAGCTCATGCAATAACTAAATCAGACTGTAATAATTTTCTCAAATTTTTTGTCGATGGTTAGTGATGTTAAGGCAAACATCTCCCCATCAACTATACAATCCCCCTTGTGACCCACCTCTTTATCCTTGGGCTTCCTTTGAACCAGTCACTCTCAGATCTCTCTGCTCTAGCGTATAAAATGAAACCATCCTCGTGCTCCACTGATATTTTTCCCGCTGCATTATTTAAAAAGTTTTTTGATACTATTGGTCCTACTATTACCGATCTTTTTAATACGTCACTATTGACAGGCGTGTTTCCCAGCCTTTTTAAACATGCCATTA